TATCAATATTCTTATGAAATATTAGATATTATTATGAAAATTTGGCCAATTATTACTCCCATTATTACACTGCTTTTTTCAACATGCTGTCCCAACAGCACATTAATATGCAAATTAGGTACAGTGTATAGATAACATTGTGTTTAATGGGAAAACCAGTTTATGGAAATTTTACACACATATTGCATAAAATAAAATGGTATATCAAATCATTTTGTTATATCTTTTATAACATAATTGAGAATCATCCTTATACAAAGTTTGGTATAAAAAAAATCCTGAAACCTATAAATTGATTGGTGATTTTTTTTTTTTAATCCCATAGTTTTTGCCTTTTCGTGTCTATGTCATTTTATTTTTTAGAAAAACGGAGTCCTGGTGTCTTCTACAGAGAGCATAGCATAACATATGAATAAAATATAAGTTTTCAAAAATGTTATTTTTCCTTTTTTTTTTTGCTTATGCTCTAAACAATGTAATGACATGAAAAAATACTATATTCACAAAGCTTTGTTTTCTGGTTCTCAGGAGGATATAAAAGAGCAGCACATAATAGACCTCAAGACTCGTGTGAATAAGAAGTGTGCCTGATTGTGCTGAATGGGCACTTAAATCACTATACTTGCAGATAATATATATAACTGAAATAAAAGGCCACTTAAGAGAGCTCATTTTCAGTTTGAACTGAGTTTTTCAAAAGTGTCCTTTGTAATAATGTCAAATTCAAAGTTTTACATTTTGAATCATAGTTTTAATAATCTTTTGTCGTGCTTCAAAGAAGCACTTGATTATCATTTTTAACTGTAGTGTTATTTGACTTTACATTTAATGTTAAAATATTTCAAAAGTCCTGCAACCCTATAAGCAGTTTGGAGAATGGATGGATATTTTAAATACTTATATTGAAACTTCAACTACAAATGTGTAATTATAAATACATTAGTGGTTTCAATAGAAATTACATTAAAGCATATTTTAGTTTATTATAAATGTTTGTCAGTGCATTCACCCTTACACTTTAACCATATTTCCACAGACAATAGTAATTATGAAATTGCGTATAAAGATGAAAGAAGACTACTTCAGTGGGTCAAAAAACACTCTAAAGTTCAGTTAATTGCATGCAATATAAATTGTAAACTATAATACATTTTCATTTAATTAACATGCAGTTAAGAGTCAGAAAACACTACATTCAGTTTGCACAAGTATTTTCTTTTAAAGTATTATTTTCCATAAAAAGTACTCTTTTAACAATTATGCAAAGCAGCTGCTGGACACTAAACCGCTAGCTTTGGTGAATGCCCACAAAATTGGTTGACCTTCCCTAGCCCCTATTAGTGAAAAAGCAGCTTATTATGATATTCTGATATTCAGTTGCAAATATGAAAAATTTCCCAAATATTCTTTCCATCTTGCATTGCTGTTTTATTCAGCAAGGATGCAGTAAATTGATTTTAAAAAAATGACTGCAAACATTTATAATGTAACAAAACATTTCTATTTCAAATAATCTCTGTTCTTTTGATTAAAATATTTCAAAAGTCCTGCAACCCTATAAGCAGTTTGGAGAATGGATGGATATTTTAAATACTTATATTGAAACTTCAACTACAAATGTGTAATTATAAATACATTAGTGGTTTCAATAGAAATTACATTAAAGCATATTTTAGTTTATTATAAATGTTTGTCAGTGCATTCACCCTTACACTTTAACCATATTTCCACAGACAATAGTAATTATGAAATTGCGTATAAAGATGAAAGAAGACTACTTCAGTGGGTCAAAAAACACTCTAAAGTTCAGTTAATTGCATGCAATATAAATTGTAAACTATAATACATTTTCATTTAATTAACATGCAGTTAAGAGTCAGAAAACACTACATTCAGTTTGCACAAGTATTTTCTTTTAAAGTATTATTTTCCATAAAAAGTACTCTTTTAAAAATTATGCAAAGCAGCTGCTGGACACTAAACCGCTAGATTTGGTGAATGCCCACAAAATTGGTTGACCTTCCCTAGCCCCTATTAGTGAAAAAGCAGCTTATTATGATATTCTGATATTCAGTTGCAAATATGAAAAATTTCCCAAATATTCTTTCCATCTTGCATTGCTGTTTTATTCAGCAAGGATGCAGTAAATTGATTTTAAAAAATGACTACAAACATTTATAATATAACAAAACATTTCTATTTCAAATAATCTCTGTTCTTTTGAATTTTTATTTATCAAAGAATCCTGAAAAAAGGACAATGTATCATAGTTTCCACCAAAATATTCAGCAGCACAACTGTTTTCCACAAAAAAAAAAAAAAAAGTTTATTGAGCAGCAAATCTGCATATTAGAATGATTTCTGAAAGATCACGTGAGACTGAAGACTGGACTAGCCTAATGATGCTGAACATTAAGCACACTGAAAAACAAATGGTGTAGAAAGAATTTTCAATCAGAAATTGCTAGTAAATTTACATAATAACATATTTCCTCTGACTGGCAAATACACAGGGGCCAGTCAAATTCTGTCCCCATGCCTCAACTCGTGTTCTTGAGAAATTCTGATGGGCATCATCGCATATGACTGTATGACTCCACAAGACTGTAGGGCAGGGGTGCCCAAACTCGGTCCTGGAGGGCCGGTGTCCTGCAGTGTTTAGCTCCAACCCTAATCAAACACACCTGAACCAGCTAATCAAGCTCTTACTAGGCATGCTAGAAACTTCCCGGCAGGTGTGTTGAGGCAAGTTGGAGCTAAACTCTGCAGGACACCGGCCCTCCAGGACCGGGTTTGGGCACCCCTGCTGTAGGGTGTCTGATTTAACATTTTAGGTTTCATTTGGGACAGGGCATCTAAAAAACAAACAAACAAAAAAACACTCATACAGAAGACCAAAAACAAAAAGGGAAACGCATTTGTCTGCAACTATTTTGCTCTAGTAGTCTGCTCACTACCTCATTCAACTACCTCTTCTGACAGTTTAAATAAATAATCTGAGCTTCTGAGCTTTTCGTCACTGTAATCAAAATAAGCTCTTTTGAACTACAATCATTATATCTGCACTGTTTGTTTACTTCACTGGTTTGCACTCTATCTGCCATGTGCTGCTTTATTTATTTACATGACCTTATTTGTATATTTGTATAGTTGTATTTTATTTTATATTTAATCTGTATCTATCTGTATTTTATGTTCTACTGTTAGTGTTATCTGTATACACCAAGGTTTTGAGAGTAACACAATTTAGATTC